TAGAGCAACGCCACATGTACAGACGACCCACAATCCTGGTATATATATATATATATATATATATATATATATATCACTACACGAACCTTATGGTTGTACGGCAGTGAAGCATCAGTGCCAACACTAAGGTTGCTGTCATTGATGATGATGATGATGAATAAGCTAGCACTAAATCCTTTCCTTGTTCACATTTATTGTTTTCCTCAAAGTAAGGCTTTCAACTAAATCATGGTTTTACGACAGCGAATTGTCAGTGTTGAACACTGATGCCGTGCTGTTCATGGCGATGGTAGTGGTGACCATCTTCAGAGCCTGTGTTGCAGGAGCCCAGCTAAAATGTTCTTCGAAATATTCGGCCATCTTCCCAGTCGACGTTTATGCGAGTGAATTACTGCGAATTGATTGCGCCTGTTGGTCTGGACTCGAGTGTCCTGTCGAGTGGATATTCTCTCCAAGGGTGAAGTACTGTGCGTCAGAATCACGGTTTCGTCTTAATTTTACGTTGCCTGTCTTCCAAGAAAGTAGTCAATCTGGTTGATCGAGCCAGAAAGGTACCCTTGTATCTGAGAATTATGTTGTGCCTCCACACGTGAGAAGGGATGTTCATGGATGATGGCTAGTCGTGTACCTTCCAAATTATGAGAAAGCCGCTAGCTTAGAAACCTGCGATGATCAATACATCGGTAGTACCTAAGTTCCAGTCACGAAATTAGGCAGTGAATTATATCGCAAACCAGGGACGGCTGAACAGACAGGTTCCTCCAATACCACTGTATCACAATAATGGGAATACTGGAAAATTTACGAACCTCACGCCATAGTAGTTATTAAATGGTATTTCTTGAACAAAAGCCAATAAATTAGTAGGGTAAGGTACAATCGAGAGAGTACACGTCCAGTTTGAGAGTGACACTGACCATTCCTCCAGCATCTGGGTTCAAAATAGAGTATGACGAATAAAAGCCGAGCTTTAGCGGTATATTTATGAAGGTTTCAAATATCCAAACACGAACTCCGGTAAGCTCGTTCATTTATATTTAAAAATGTCGGAAACGGATTGCAAGTCTTACGAAAAAACAACAGGAACACGCACTTTGGCTACTTATTTCGATAGAAACGAGATGCGTACTTGCCCAATATTGCAACTCCCTCATTATATAAGCGTACTTTGCTTGAAGTGCGAACGGGCGCGACTGAACCATGGGAAACTATTCGATCAGAAACTCTTATTGGATCCTTTGGAGATTCAAATTAGCAAAATAAAGCCAATTTTTACGAAAAGTGACCCGAAATTTAATTCCATCTTAGGATTTAGTTAGGGAGGTGGATGACGGCCGACTGTGCTTTCAACACCGCAAGCATTTTATAGTTGAGTCGGTAAACCATTCCGCAATTTACTGCAATACGTTCAGTGTTCCTCCACATGAACGTAGCGGTTTTCGTATGTTTTGTACGAATTTCTTTCTAATGAAAGCAAGTATATATTTCCACTTCAACGAACCGATCTCAGGGCATTGTCTTGCCAAAGATCCCACACCAGAATCTCTTGCTCCAAAGAAATTTTACGAACCACTTGTGCCGAGAATTCCTCGCCCCAAATAGGAACACTTGAATCGTTCAGTAGCATAGATATTATTTTTTCCATCGCAGTGCGGTCGGTGAACAACTACGTGTCCAAAGCAAATCGATTATACTAACTGTGGACGGTATTAACTCTAAGGCGATTCTACCACGATTACTCATGCTCTCTTCGAATTGGACCACGGGGTCAGGTGGGTTGAATTGAGAATATTCTAGTCACTATCCTAGTTCCTATGACTTGGCGTCATAGCAGCCACCCTTCCTCGCCCTTTTCCTGACACTGAATTGAAAGATTATGCTCTGATCTTGCTTTACCTTCATTTTGTGGTAAAACGCAGTAAGCTCCTTGGGCGCTTTCTTGATGACTTCATTACATATAACAAATGTCTGTGTGAGCAGTTCGCCAAATAGTTTTAGCTGATAGTGCACAATTTTTTCGCCCTGGCCAGTTCAAAGCTTCTTCACCCGTCCTTGCTCCGTACACTGCTGTTCTGCAGCTGTGAACTCTCACCCTTATGTACTCAATATTCATTTTCCTTGAAATGAATCATGGGTTAATTTTTTTTTAATTTTTCACGGGCATTAATTCTCCAGCTTTGCGTTATTGTAGCTGGGGTCATTAATTACTCTTGCTCTGATACCACCGGCGAATCTCCCTGTGAACGCAGTACTTCGTTCCCATTGGCAAAATCCGACCTTAGTAGTCGGAATACATCCTTGACCGGTTCAAAAAAACTTCAAGGAAGCACCAACTTGAACTGTAGCATACTGAGTACCCTTTAGTGGCGTTGTAGTGACCTTAGAATGTGAGATATCGGTAGCTACATAGAGCAGGGTTTCAGTTCCAAGTGCCAAGAATGTTCGGGCATGTGGGTTCTTACCAATTCGTAAACCTTTAGGACTTAAAGCATGGCTTCCTTTAATGCACTTAACCTTGAAGGCGTGCATTCAAAGCTTACGGTAATCCCCATCCCACCTTGTTTTACGGTGTATATGAACGTTTGCCACTGAAATCTTGGAAATTCTAGTCCCACAAACTAAACTTATATTGCCGTCTCTTCGTTTTATCATACTCCGGCAATGGATGCACCGCCGCTGACGACACCGTATGGGTACAGGAATTTTATACCTAGTCTTCCAGCCGCGTCTAAAAATCTGGGTTTTTAGGGTGTCCTTTTCAAACTCACCTTGTCTGTCTTCGCTTCGACTCTCGGTCTCCGTGTCCTCACTGTTTTGTTGACTACTAGCGGTCTCTGATTCGTCACACTGATTCACTCGAAAGTCATCCAGTGAGGTCTTGCGGTCACTCATCCGATGCCGTCTCTCCAGCGTTTTCTGATCTGTCACAGATAGACTTGAAGGAAACGCAAATTTGGTTCCACCAAAGCGGCAGTTGCACGGGAGAGCCCGTCCGTGAGTTAGAATGGGATTAATTGTATCACTTATACGCTTGGTTTTATCACACTGAACGCTTACCAAGGCGTTGGGTATGGTTTCTGATGTTGGGCATCTGTGATGATGGTGAACACCTCTGCTGATGAGTTTGTCTTCGTCAACATTATAGGAGCTTAGTTTTAATCTTGTATTGCTGGAGTCACTGTCCGGTTCGATTACCTTCCCCCATTCTTCTGCCGCCAAGTGTGCCGCACGTTGATATGAATAGGCCCAGTTGCCACTCGGCTCCCTTAACCTATACCCAGTGGACTTTTGTGGTAGACTGTGGCTGTCCGGTTGCGAGTCGTCCACCAGCTCACCGCTAGTGGAGAAACTGGAGGTCCACACCGAGGCTTTTGTTGCATGTGTGGCATTTATCGGTCTTCCACGGTATGTGAAGATCTTACCAACGGTATCTGTTTCACCAGATGTATGAGGCTCATTCTGTGTTAAAAACAAAACGAATTGACACTTGATGACCAGGGCATCAAATTGGTCGTACATGGATTCAAAATGGGGTGTGGTTTGAAAACAAACCAGCTATTTAAAATGTTTTCCTCTGTATAGAATGTTTACTGGGGGGGGGGGAACTGACACTACGCTTGCTGTATACGAACTAGGTTTTAAAAATCCAAAGAAGTTTTTAGCGTGGGAGTGTCGAAAAATCGTTAGCACATGGTATCTGCCCATATCTTGAGGTTTGACTAGATCAGGAATTGTACCCACCCATTGTACAGGAATTTTATACCTAGAGTCTTCCAGCCGCGTCTAAAAATCTGGGTTTTTAGGGTGTCCTTTTCAAACTCACCTTGTCTGTCTTCGCTTCGACTCTCGGTCTCCGTGTCCTCACTGTTTTGTTGACTACTAGCGGTCTCTGATTCGTCACACTGATTCACTCGAAAGTCATCCAGTGAGGTCTTGCGGTCACTCATCCGATGCCGTCTCTCCAGCGTTTTCTGATCTGTCACAGATAGACTTGAAGGAAACGCAAATTTGGTTCCACCAAAGCGGCAGTTGCACGGGAGAGCCCGTCCGTGAGTTAGAATGGGATTAATTGTATCACTTATACGCTTGGTTTTATCACACTGAACGCTTACCAAGGCGTTGGGTATGGTTTCTGATGTTGGGCATCTGTGATGATGGTGAACACCTCTGCTGATGAGTTTGTCTTCGTCAACATTATAGGAGCTTAGTTTTAATCTTGTATTGCTGGAGTCACTGTCCGGTTCGATTACCTTCCCCCATTCTTCTGCCGCCAAGTGTGTCGCACGTTGATATGAATAGGCCCAGTTGCCACTCGGCTCCCTTAACCTATACCCAGTGGACTTTTGTGGTAGACTGTGGCTGTCCGGTTGCGAGTCGTCCACCAGCTCACCGCTAGTGGAGAAACTGGAGGTCCACACCGAGGCTTTTGTTGCATGTGTGGCATTTATCGGTCTTCCACGGTATGTGAAGATCTTACCAACGGTATCTGTTTCACCAGATGTATGAGGCTCATTCTGTGTTAAAAACAAAACGAATTGACACTTGATGACCAGGGCATCAAATTGGTCGTACATGGATTCAAAATGGGGTGTGGTTTGAAAACAAACCAGCTATTTAAAATGTTTTCCTCTGTATAGAATGTTTACGATAGGGGGGGGGAACTGACACTACGCTTGCTGTATACGAACTAGGTTTTAAAAATCCAAAGAAGTTTTTAGCGTGGGAGTGTCGAAAAATCGTTAGCACATGGTATCTGCCCATATCTTGAGGTTTGACTAGATCAGGAATTGTACCCACCCATTGTTGATATCTCCTCGTATGGTGACGAAACGTTTGCAAGCCAGTTGCCAAGCTGGGCGAAAAGATCAACAGCCATCTGATCAACAACCAATAACCGTACCGTCAGATCCCTGGTGTTTTGCGGTGAACTCTTGTAAGCCTACGAATGTCTAAGATTAACGCCAACAACTACAGTTTCCTTTTCTTTTCCCGGGTGACAACCTGGTGAGACCGACCTGCTGAGAGGGGACCAACGAAAAATGAACATCAAAGAATAAAGATAATCTGTTGATTTAAATATGGGCTACAATGAGTATCTAATTCTAATGTCCTTTCGCCTGTATCAGAGGTACACTGAATTCTAAGATTAACCGATGCGTCGACCCATCTTCAAGCTTTCCTAATTACTCTGTCCAATCTATTGTTTTTTTAAATATTGGGTCGATTTCTTCTGGAACATTCGTTTGCACAGTTTAGGAAAATGCTCATGACTAGGTACCCAGTGGGAAGTTCGCCAATTTTCATACTTTACCGGGTAGTCGAGTTGGTCAGTTATTCAGGAATAGCATCGTGCCGACTCAACCTGACTCGTTTGATCGTGTATTTAGAGCACTTACCTTGACTCTAACGCACTGGTGAAGTAAATGAGGGTAAGTATGCTTTGCTGAGGTTGTACAATTTCGGTGTAGACTAAGGCGCACACACATATAGGCTGCAATCACTGATCCGTCAATACTAACGTACATCTATTTCTCTGTAAAAGTGCTCATTGCAAGGGCTGGATGAAATCGTGTTTGCCCAGGAGAAGACTTTCGGTGTGGCCTGTTTTCAGGACAGCAAACTGGAGGTACAATTATGGTGCAAAATTAGGATTATGCACCAACCGCAAACATATTTTCATTACTTGGCAGCATTCTGTTAATTTGTTCTTAATGATGGACAGTTTTTTTCCTTCGAATCGTGTTGTGCGCACTACTATTCCGTAATTCGCAGAGCCCTTTGCGATCACAGATCGTGCGAACGACGCACTTTATCACCTGCTGGTAGCTGAACGCACGCTTTGCTGTTTGATCAGTCTCTGGTCCCTAAGAGTACGCACAAAGCTGCTGTCACTTTTCTGGCAGGCAGTGAATAAATAAAGTTTGGAAGAAGTTTCCAGAATAGTTTTTACCAACGGTACTGGTCAACAGACACACCTAAACCTAGTGAATTCATTTCTAAAGAACCCATTTCCATCCAACAAACCTAAGGGTATTCAATTCCGAAGCAATCCCAGCCGCGATTGAGTCGGACATTGGGTAGAGTGCGTGTAATTACGCACAGTATGCGAATAACTCCAAGCCAATAGTCATATTTTTCTGTTTTCTCCATGCTATCTTCACTTGTCATGTCTTTCATCCAACTTTAAATCCGGACTATGCAGCCTTTCATCTCAGTCAGGATCAGATAATCGGTAGGTTTACTTTGAACACCACTTGTCATCCTACTCAAGATTAGTTTAAATATGATAAGGCGTTTAGAATCTAACGAAGCTGATGTGCCTAATAATGTTTATTGCCGATCTAGGACCACCGGCTTCTCGGACCAGAAAAATCGACCTATCATCAGAAATGTGAGCTGGTGGGTAGCTTATGTAGTCTAAAAATAACGAAGGTCAAATGTCTCATTCATTTCACAGTGCATACAGTCTTTCGTGTCCGGCTCACAGCCCCGTACCTCGGTTATCAAGTGTAACGGATGCCAAATTTATTTTCATACCAGCGTTGTGCCATACGACGCCCCCATATGTTTGGCAGACAAGCCTAAAGGTTTTGGGAATACATTTTTCGCGCCTCATTTACTCTGCTTCCAGGTTCATTTACACGCACTGCCAGGTACTCGCAAAGGATTTATCTGGTGAAAATCATCACTATTGGCCAGACATATGGATAATGACAATTGTTAGTTGGTAATTCGAGAAGGAACAACTTCATATTCTGATCAGTGAATGAATGAGAATCACAGGATTCTCTGTTTAAAGATGAATTTAGAAAGAGGGAATCTAGGTGTGACCGAAACTTCCGATGATTTGGTGTAACTGACATTCCTTTATCGTGCAGGGGGTCAACGCGTTTGATTATTGCCGCCTGACGTATCTCTAAAGAAAAACGCGGTGCAGTAGAGTAGACCGATGGCAAAAGCAACGGCAGTGATCAGATGCCTGTTACCTGAAATCTTCGGACTCTGGAAAGATTGAAGAGCCCATGCGTCAGCCAGAAATCCACCAGAAACAGTCCATGCGACCAATTCATGGAAAGCTAAATTTTCGGGGAATATTGTTTGCTGAATGCTGAGGAGAGGATTGTGTAGTCCTCCCAATATCAGCTGTACAATTAGTCGGTCTTTGTAAACATTAGATTACTTGACAACTCTTATTCATTCCCTAATCATCATCAAGGAGGTTACCGCGACCGGTCACAAACCAACCCACAGAGGACGCGTGAAGTTCGCAGCCATAATGACTCAAGGATCTCTGTCTGATGTGAAATCCATGGGAGTCAGATCATTGGTCTCTACTTCTTCGAAAGAACTACTTCACTCGACCAAATGCCTGTCTGGAAAACATGGCTGGTATACTAAGATATATCAGCTACACATTTAAACCTAAGCGCATTAACTGACCAGTAAGCAAACTAATTCAAATGTGACGTTCCCAGGGCCGTATTCAATATGCACTTTTAGGACTATTGGTCGAAATGAGGACGTGAATACCAGATTCACAGTATTCCGAGAATTTTTTCCACAAATGACGCATACTTGGCAAAACGATGCGTGTAATCATACTGGCCGGGGGCATCTACAACTACCATCTAATAACTATGAGATTTGCACAGTGGAATCACGAGCAAGTGATACGAAACGAAGTAATTATTACTACTTCACAGAAAAAACCATGCCTGTTCATGTGCGGTCAAATCGCAAGGTTAATGTTTGTCTCCAGAATATACTGGTATGAGATTACGTTAAGAAAAATACATACGGAAGTTTCTGAAAACACTATGGGACCTTTCACACATCAGGTAATTGTCTACTGAGTGGTGTAGTCGACATACTGCATGAGGAATGCGAAATCTCACATTCCGTCAGATAATCCATATTCCTTTTTCGTTTGGCTAACGACTCACTTATTATAGTATTCACTTCCCCAGTTTTGTCCATGGAGTTCACACGATTCAACTGAGTAACAGAATGGTGTTCACTGGGTGAGTCATCCGGTACATCGTGGAATGAGATCCAGTACACTGCTTCTTGATAGTACCGCAATCTAAATCAGTCGTTTGTTGCAGGTGCACTAGAATCCAGGACTTTTTCGGTTTTGACTTATTGAACATTGGTTGGTCACACGTGAGGCAGACGCTATAATGCCGAGTTCACCGACATGTTAGCAGTGTTCGTGTAACTACGCAACCCAACACTTCCATCATACTCAACAATTTCACCAGACTCTGTCTACTTACTTGTAATGACACCCCTCGCCATCCTTCCCACAGATATACACCTGTGACCATTGTGTCTTCAGCGTTTCATCCATGCGAGAACGTTGAGATATGTAGTGTGTCAACAAATCTATCATCCCCATCAAAAATGCCGTCTACAGCAACCACAAACTGTTCACAGTTGATATTTGATCTCAAGGTCGTTTTGATTTGAAAAATGTGTTAGTTCAGACCACCTGAAATCTCTGGAGCTCGGCTGACCTGTAAGTGCAACTTTCCGCCCGGCTATCGCTCGCCTTAAACACGCTCGCCACGCTGAGATGAAAAGAACTTCAGTGTACACGATCTAAATCACATCCCATTATGTGATCAACAAATTTGTTGATTTTTTAGAATTACTCTGTTAAATTACTAGTTACTTTTGGGCACTTCCGGACCTAAACTGTCTTAGCGGATTTAAACAGTGAGCGGTTGAAGTTACACAGACAATAAATCAGGAAAAAGCGCGAAACTTGAGGAGATCCTACTTCAGTTCCATGTGAAGCTGAATACCTCACATAAAATTTTTTAGGGGTATCCTGTTTTCTCATTCAAATACGGTTCCACTGGAACGATCAGTCAATGTTTCAGGAAGATATGGATCGACGACAGCGACCTAGATCAGATCCTGTCCAACGAATTGATGAGTGTCAGACGCTTCATCTTCACTGAAATCTAGACCCACTAGATTCTTTCACAGTTGAGAACAATAAGTATGGAGGTAGACTTCGCATAAATGGTGTTGTGTTTCCATGCGTCATGAGTATAGGAATTTGCATAATCTCAACTTTTTCAGGTTACCTGGGGGTATTATAGTTCTTCGACAAACTTTATACACTGCTTTACTCAAGTTGTCTGTGTTGTAATGGAACCAGTTCATCATTTCCCTTGTCTTTATGAGGCCGAATTCTGCAGAACAACAGCGCGCAATCGACCCACGGTTGTAGATTGTGTACTCGCTTTTCTTCGTTAACTCTGCGTGTAGCTTTACTTCCTTTTAACCAAGTGATCCAATGGATTATCCTTGCTGCGCAGCGATAGGTTTTTCACCCATATTTTAGTCTTATTAATGATGGCAGAGTCCACATCATTAGTCACGTGTTGACTGACTGCTCGAGTGACGATTTCTCAGATGGAAGTTTCTTCCAACTTGTGAAATAATTTTTCCTCTGAGCTACCTATTGTCATCGTTGTTGCTGCTGTTGTTTTTGGTGGTGGTGATGGTGGTGGAAGTTTAAAAAAATCGATGAGAATTAGATGATGCATCAGTGTTTGCCAGTTAGACATGATCGATCAGATTAATTGGCGGGAAAAACTAGATCACTGCCTTTATAGTTTACATTGCACTAGAACCGAGGGACACAGAACGTTATGTCGAAATTGGCACAGAGTGAATAGGCTGCTGCGGTTTTGGTTCAAAAGAACACGGAACATACCTGTCATGGTAAGCGATCTTCAAAGATCACATTGGCTGATCGTGAAATTCAGATATGTGGGACGGTTTCAATCTGATTAGCATTGATAGTTAGTGATATAGAGAAACAATTGCAGCCAACTTCTGAGTTTGTGGATATTTTATCCGTACAACTCGAGTTTGAGTGTATATTAGCGTTCCCATCTGTCCAGCTTGCGTTGGAAGTCTCGGAAGAGAACAAGGAGGGTTTTCCTCATGTTAAACATGTACACCAAATGTCCTTTGAGTACATTCGGATGGAGAATCTGACCAAAATGTGCGTACGAAAGTGGTTTGCGTACCAAGGTGAAAGATTAAAGCCTCAAGCGACCAATTAAAATCTGTTCCTCCTGATGGTGGGCCTCTCCAGAGGGCTGTAGGTGCACTACCTTTCCGTCATCTCACGGGTCTTTTGCCGAAAACTATATTGACGAATATTTCCGTGTCCCTTCGGTTCAAATTCCATCGCCATGACACGTGGTTTACCCAATTTTGTGTAGTATCATTTGGGCTAACAGTAAATACAGTCTTCTGACCGCCAACTGAATCTAGCGTCACTCCCTTCAGCCGGTCCCTCTCCAGAATAACAGACTGGACTTAAAATCATGAGGGATAGGCTACAAGTTCACCAAAAAACCAATCAGCTTTAATAAGACCGAATCTATATGCTTTTTTAAATTACCATTTCTACCTACGACCGCCCGTCAACAGGGCCCTAACATAATTCAATTAACAACCGCCTAACGAAGCACATTTCTCCAGATAAGTAAATTTTCCTGTATTTCACCTCCTATTAAATTCTATGGGTCATTCTAGAAAGTAATTGAAACAGAGCATTAGGAGTTCCTTTGTGAGCGAATCCGGCAATTGTAATTGTAAGTGAAATTAGATTTACTTTCATTTGTACTCGTTAAATTCCATTTGCAGGTAATAATTCATATTGCGGTCCACACATTTTTCGTCATAACCACTCCCAGAGTGTTCCTTTACACAAAAATCAGGCTGTGATATCCCAACGGGATATAAGTGAACTATCAAAATATGCTCATTTGCAAGTAAATTTGGTTTTGCAAGAGATTCATCTGGAACCCACCTTAATCTCTCGTTTGGGGCGACCTGGTGCGGCACATTCACTTGCCCGGAAATATCACAAACGAGAGGTTTAGCTGGGTTCCAGGTGTATCTCTCGCAAAACCAAATTACTTTGCAAATGAGCGTAATTCGATAATTTCGTGCAACTCGGTTCCAAGTAGAACATAAGGTTGACGGAAACTCGGGGATTGCGACTATCTGATGAGCCCCAAGAAGGGCGAAACCAATCGTGGGCGGTCGAGGAATTTCCAGCAACCTTATGAGTAGTGCGTTAGCGATATAACTGACTTTGCCCGAACTACTGATGTCCGAGACTAACAGTGAACGAAAAATTCTACCAACTCGGTTAAGAAGAATATTCAAAGATATGAGTACCTCTACTCTGGGAAGACGTCGTTTCTTATGGTGTGTGGCAAATAGAATCATTTTGTACGTCCATTGTTTCCGGAAATCGGAGATTTTATTTCATTTTGAGCTCTATTGGCGGGCAGTCCGTATTTTCAGATCGCTTTGGAAAATCCGTGACCAAGACCCATCTAGTCATTAAGATGGCTTACTTACACTATCTAATTGTGTGGTTTTAAGGAAAAGTGTATACGGAAGAGGTATTCTGACATAAAAATGACTAGGACTGTCGTGCGGTACTTGTTACTAATGTTATATATACTTCATCACCTTCCCTGATGACATTCCACTAAATGCTGACATGTACCTACTTTGAACTAGGCTTCTAATCAAGTCAAGGAAAAGACAAAACAATGCTGGCGTTGCGGAATGAATGAACAGCAATGTTATGAATGTCGACTACATAGTGTCAAATTCTGCTGCTCTCATGAAGAAGGACTATTCTGGAAGAAAGCTATGGTCAATGGGTAAAGAAGGCTATTCATTTTCTAATTAATTGGGAAACGTTTGAAACTGACGGAGACATTGTCGTCCCAGAAAAGTCAAGAAACTATGGGTCTACAGATAGTTCTTGCCAACTCATCCGGACTAGTCCACCCATTTTGCTGGAGGAATATAGCTAGTGCGGTTTTGTCTATTGGCCAGCTTTGTCAGTATAACCTGATGCATTTTTCACCTTTGATCAGCAGCAGTCACTTTGATCACTTCGAAAGCTGGGTTATGGTAAGTAATTGCACAAAAAGAGAGCTTTATGGTAACATCACTAACCACTGGGTCGATGGAATAACGAGGCCGTTTTGGTGCACCACCTCTGAAGTGCTTCTGCTTCAGTTCACCAGTATTCCACTTGTCCGAATCGTTTCCGGAGACTGTAAAGTACTTCGGTCCCATGGCCGAAGTTACATGTGTATCAGATGGATTATGTGGATAGGTCGTGCCAAAATTTCTCTGTAGATTTGCGTGTGGATGTAAGGGAATTTCTACTCGCTGCATCTCATTGGTCTCGCCCCGTTGTTCTGGATGCGAAAAACCGCTGAGGCACTTTGCTGCAGTGCGAGAAAAAGGGAAGAGGTAAGGGAAAGGGAAAGAATATTGACTAATGCTCTTCACCGAGCAAAGTGCGCAACCATGCATCACTTGGTAACCAACTTCACGACGGAATGTGGACTGACGCGATCGCTCTGTCTGGCCATATTTGGGTCAAATTTCATCGCCATTGGAGCTGTTTGCCAGCGAACATGGTTAACTTTACGGGGCTTCTAACTGCTGACATCCGGAATGGGGAGCGGATTTTTGTACTGCTGCCTCACCGGGACATCAGCATATGTAAACATGTCCGCTCAAGTGACCTTATCCGAAAACTGAAATGCGTGGTATACATCTAGATACAAAGCATACGCATAGTGGTCAATGAATAAACTTTCGAAAGCCAGAAACAAGGCCGTATACTAACCTCCTCCAACGGGCAAACTCACATACGACAAATAGCTTAGAGGAATTGGTTTTATAAGCCCATCTTAAGCTATCCACGGTGAGCAAAAAACAAGGAGTGTCTCACAACAAGCGATGCTTTTTAATAGTTATCCTAACTTTAAAGAGCGTATCCATCAAGTTGATGGTGAATCTTTGTTCATAGTACGGGGTTCTGCATTGGAATTTATGTCTGTGTGGTGAGTTTTCTGTCCTCTTCTGAACAACCACCAAAATGGATACTTTCAAGAATTGCAGTTCCACAAAGTTCCTAATAAAAGCAGAGTCATTAAGTTGATGAACCTGTATCATCAAGTGACTCAAAAGCATTGTACTTCCAGAGATGCAGGACGAAACCGGTGACCTCGAGAATATCCCTGTTTTGTCGAAATAGGAGCATATAGAAGTTCTGTTTGGAGTGACTGATGATCGAAATTATCGAGGACATCAACTCAACCTTTTACTGCTTTATTTCGGAATTAACCAACACGAAGTTTCACTGCTGATTTCCTGTGCTTTTTTGATGTTTCAAGGCCACATAAGATTACTTGCTTAGTGAACATGCGTGGGGGTCGATTAGGGTGTGCATCCGTCATATGCGGTTACGCTTATGCGTCTCTGTAACACAAATAGTGGCCCCTGAAGGGAACCTGGTGCGTGATGGTGCAGGCATCTCGATGGAATTAACACTCGTGCATACGACAGATAAAATTACAGCTACCTGTCACAGACAGATGATCGGGTTTGGAACGACTAAAACGCTACGGAAATACTAACTTTGTGGATGGCAATTTCTTCCGGGCTAAACTATGTCACAGGAGGTCAAAACATAACATGAGAATTCCTTGACCTATTAAGAAACCACATTCGGTTCCTTAATGGGATACTTACCAGAATGTGTCTCTTGTATTCGCTCGGATGGACATTGGCCTTGAATAATACGTGCTCCGGATTCCGCCACTAAGGGCAACGGGACTGATCGGTTCCACCAAGCTCGATTCAAGGCGAGACCTTTTGGGTCCGTACAGTGGTAGACCACGTCAGATAGTTTTTCCACTGGAAACACGACGGTATTGGGTAAGTTACCGAAGGAGGCTGCTGTAGACCTTCTTGACCCCTGGCTCATCAGGCACGATTCAGATTCTTCAAAGTCTCTCGGTAGTCGTAAGAAATTACTCACGCTGGATTGGCTGGATTTGATTCTATCCAAAACTGGACTTGAGGGTGACCTTTTTCCGTTGACGGAAATTCTGGAATTGCGGTCTGTCCTATTGTCGTCAGACTTGAGCTCGCCTGATTCTTTTTTGCAATTCTGATGTGGCTCATCATTTTTTGAATTTGGGAGTGATCGACTTCGACGTGCTTTCCGTTCTGAGCTTCCGTGGCTTCGATCCTGTTTGGTGAGACATGATGACGAACACCATCCTGCATCCTTTTTAAAAACGTCATCTGCGCATGTGGCAGTTTCTACTAATGGCCCTGTGCAAGGTCCCATGGGGACATTCCCATCAACCCCTGAATTCTGAAGCTTCATGGGTGATTCGTTATTTCCAGTTTGCAGTCGAAGAGCTGTGCCACCTTCCAACGTGGTCATAATTGAGGACTCTGATTCAAAAAATACCTTATTGCACATTCCGGACATGCTGCCCTGTTTAGTTTTCTTCGCGCGCTTCACGAGCGTGACTCCAGCCGAGAGCATTCCGCACATAGCGCAGAATCCAAGCAGTCCGACAATAATCCAAGTATGGTGTGGGAATTCGTCATCGGCGCTTGACTTTTCGTTCACACTTGCAACGATTGTTGTCGTCAGCGCACTTTCGTCTTCGTTACTGGTGTCTGATTTGTAGAATGGGTGAACCGAACACAAATGCAGGTTTTGGGTCATGACAGTATACACATTCATGAAAAAATCTCTCAAATTTGTATGCACAGGATAACTTGATCCACCTCATCTAAGGAGCGTATGACAAAGTAACAAGCGTTTGACAAGTCGGAATACCCCACTCAATTGAACTGTGCAGTGAGCCTCATTGACATACTGATATAATAAATCGCAGCCTAAAAACACGGCCTCCGAATCCATACTAACCTGGATTAAACTGATCGACCCAAGATGACGAAGATTAATTCTGATGCGTCCAAATGACCGTAACTTGGAGGTGTCCCTTGCAATAGCTTTTAAGTGAGAGACTGGTGCAGGTTCTAATATGATATTGCCTCAAATCACAGTGATATCAAATGAGTACAAGTATTGAGTAGTCCGTGCGCAATCTCTGGCAAATAGAGTACTTTTATGCCAGGAAGATTCAGAGAGATCGTCCACTGCTATGCACGCGGGATAGGGTAGCACGTTCCTACATATATCTGCCGGTCCCAATATATGTATTTGGTTTGACTTCGAGCTAAACAACTTGCAATAAAAAACTATGGGCTTCAGAGCACATAAAAACATGGAAGGACATACCAAAAAACACTCCATCGTAGGTTCCATTGGGCTGTTTTGTCTATGATCATCATGCCACCTGACTGAGCTATTCCACATGCGGCCAGGTCGTAGTAAGTTACCTAACCTATTTCGATTCCCATCACACTTCAGATGTGAACGATGTGAAAGGGTGCCTACATTCCGTACGGCTGATTGAAGCACATCCGCTTAAAGCCAGCGTTTGAGATACTTCAGTCTCTTTCTACAATCATTGGTGCCACTAGTGTCGTTTCATGAGCACGTGTGAGTTCAGTTTGAGCGTTCAGGTGACTTGAACAGTGGTTATGTACTTATGTTTAATCCAAGGAGTAACTGTATCAAGGGATCAGGTCGGTCGTCTGACCGTGTCCTCTTGTTTGGCTGATGGATCCTCTATTGTCGTGGAGCTGGTCATCCAGGTCACTGTGACCCGTATTTTCAGGTTGAACTCTATAATAAAATGAACTGAGATGGGGATGAAAGCCTAGCGACCGAAATGGCAAGTAGAGCATGTTCAACATGACCCTGAAACTGTCTACTTTGAAACTGGAGCTCTTGTATTCTTTCCAAGCTGGGTACAAAACCAGTCCCCAGTGTTCGCGTAGATGGAGCTCAAAACCCGGTCTACTGGATGTCTGTTACATTTGAGTTATCTATTCTGGGAAACAATTGCCTTGAAAACAGCACAGTCTGTTTTAGCTAGCCTGTGTTTAGCTACAGTCATCTTGATTGACGCCCTGAGTGGCGAGAAACCGGGTTCTGACGACCTAAGACTACTTTCCTAATGCAATTTCTCTTTTATTCGTCACAATACATTCCGAGTTTAGTCGGTGAGCAGTCGCTTGACTCTGTTTTTCATCTATTGTCACATGTTTTACTAAAACCAGGCATTCATCCTGCACATGCCTGTATCTCGTGTCTTGAGTAGTGCGTCGCAGGGAGTGCATTCTAATCCTCTATTCATACAAAAAGGTTCATGGGTTATCAAAATGGAGAAATCCCCATGTTTTACAAGTTACCATGCCGATATTACGGGTGTCGACTTTGACCTTTTCAGATATGAAAGATGTCAACACCTTGAAAGAAGAGAAAGGATATGGGTGAGCACGTACATAATTTCGCCTGATGTGTTAGGACCCTGTCCAGGTCTCCAATTGCACGTGGGCATTCATCTTCGTCCTCACCGTTTGGGCAGTTGGTATGATTATCACATAACAGTTTTTCGGCAACGCATAAGATACCGTCCAAATTCAAACCACTCAGTTGATCTGTAGTGTATTTGGTCAACTTGCCCGGTTTAGGCGTCAATACTTCGCCAACTGACAGTCCACTTGCATTTAGTTTGTCCTGATACATGCGGAGATCCTCCATCTTCATACACGGCACCCACCCAAGTTTGCAAGGAGCTATTTTACCGCAAAGTAAAAAAACAAGAATGTTGTGAAATCAGGCAGAACACATCAAAGTGAAATTAAAGGCCAGGTCATTTTCGGCAACGCATAAGATACCGTCCAAATTCAAACCACTCAGTTGATCTGTAGTGTATTTGGTCAACTTGCCCGGTTTAGGCGTCAATACTTCGCCAACTGACAGTCCACTTGCATTTAGTTTGTCCTGATACATGCGGAGATCCTCCATCTTCATACACGGCACCCACCCAAGTTTGCAAGGAGCTATTTTACCGCAAAGTAAAAAAAACAAGAATGTTGTGAAATCAGGCAGAACACATCAAAGTGAAATTAAAAGGCCAGGTCATACAAGCGGATATTTCTGTGTACTGTAACAGAAGATACAAAAGCTCTGTGAAATAAAGAATGTCTTTTGGAAAAAAATGGATTTTCTGTGCAGTGGCGCGCCAATATAAGCGAGGTTAGAAACTGTAGTGATCGATGATGAGACTTGCATTCGGTGAGGAGGGAGACCCTCGTTCCTCACGAGGTCGTCGTTGAACCATTGGGTATAAGGTGGAGCCAGTGGTCACCGTGACAATCGAGACAATAATTAGTCCCTCCCCCTCAGGTTGAGTTTATTCTATCCTTTCATCCGGAGCTTGTTAAATTAGTTGAATGAACAACGTAGTGAATAGACTGATAATGAAGATTTTTCAGGCACAGCAGTGCGGTCATGTGCGGCGACATTTCCGCTAGACATTCCACCATAGGCATGAGCAGTAAATCGCATTTCGTCGGGCTGACACACGGCCGATGATTTCAAACATTCTGTAACCCTGGAAAGTAGAGCTTTCCAAATGAGCTAACAAAGCGACTAAGTCTACAGCTGTCTTTTAACTGCGAATAATAAGACTCCTGGTGAAATTGTTGGCCTCGGACCAAAGAGTACCCGTAGTCTGGACTCTGACAACAGAGGGAATGGATTTTGTTGCCTAACGTTTTAAAAGGCTAGGATCAGCCACAACCCGCGTCAGATGTAATTACTACCCTGTCAACTCAGCATATCTAAGAACATTCAGAAAAGAATTCTACGTACGCCACAGAGCTGTCGATTTTCATTTCAATTGAACATATAAAAAATTTAGGAAACATCCGACTTCTACTCCATGCGCCACACAGTCCGATGACACGTAGGTTTCAAACCTGTGACTTGTGTGGAAGCCGTTGCACAGGAGTGGAAAATGTTAGCTTTTATGAAGTTTGATTCATCCCAGCCAAAGTTGGAAACTACTTTTTGTCTTCTTTCAGCCGAGATGGGAGGATTTTTACTTCTTAGCTCTTATTTATGAAGAAACGTGTCAAGAAAATGATGACCAATTTAATCACTAATCTTCAATAGATAGTAATTAGTACAACTAGTGATTGTTTTGGTAATGTTCAGACATTGCCTGGACATCCATTTTTGCCCTTGTGCTATGTTTGCTTAAGTTCCTACCTTAGAAACAAAGAGGATGAAAGGAAAGAGAAAAGCCTGACCAAGTGGGGAACAAGGTTGACTTTGCATCCGTGCCACTCTGATTCACAACCTCCTATCTCTACCCTGGCGCAACTTCTCTGGTGAGTCCATATCAAAGACGGGTAGCGATGGACTTGAGTTTCGTTCGTGTTATAACTCATCAGCGAAGCATATCTTTGGATGTGTCGGACTTTGAACTCCGGGCACATGACCACAGTAGTTGGGTCTGAACAGGAGGGGAACTGTGCAAATGAGGACGTGGATGTTAATTCTGTATATTTCGAAACCATTTCTGAATGGCACTGCTACTTTGCGCACTTTAACACAAACCGAAATACGCATCATACACGTTATCAATAAATGAATGACGCAGCTGATATCGGGATTTGACCAGGATCTTTTTAAGAACGTTGTTTTTGGGGATGCTGGAAGGATACTCAGTCATAAGCATAAAAAGTTTGCGCTTTACTTTACTTCAAATTGACTGTCTCCATCGACAGGATGGGTCGCCTGTAGAAATGTCTTGTATGGACAAAACTTGAAATTAAAGACCAGAAGCAGGCCTCCTATAAACTGCCCCATAAACTAGGTGGAAGCCAAGCCTTTTAATTTTGTCCTCGATGGCACCAGCATACATCTTTAATTTCTCCATAACGCGATATGATGGCTGTTGTTCTTAATCATTGCTCACTATTTCTCAGTAAGCCCCTGGTGTTGCTGATATGGTCACGATTTCAGCTTTGGCGACACTGGTATGAGAAGCCGGTTTACGCTGGGCATTGTGGGTTCTTTGTAGAATGGGAACCAAGAGCTTAGTTACTTCCAGGGATTACTTGTGACTGGGCCTGCAAAATCAGATATTAGGTATTTACAACACGATTTTTAACTTCACACACAGTCACTTATTTCTATTTCAACAGTAACTTTAAACTGTGATAATGAAGCATCAAATTTTGGAAATGCCTTTGTTGCTGATAAAATGGATGTTTTACGACTCGGAAGACCTGTCACCTTATTCATTCTGCTCAAACCGGTAAGATATCACATTTGTACTGTTTAAATTTATATATCACTTTATGTGAGTACTGATAGGAAAATCCGGATCCTGTTTCCTAGATTCATGCTGTGGACTTGGTCACGATGTAAATACCTGAAAACCAGTTCAATTACGAGAGAAAAAGCTAATACCGTCATTAGCCCTGGTTAATCGGGACCAATTTACATCATTCTTCGTAGTATCATTCCCATTCAAGCCTTCGGATCACCATAATAACCCACACTGTCGTTTGGAGCGATCAGTTCATTCCTGATCACCTACCTTTCCAATCTTCAGTCTACTCATATAGCAAAAGTAGTGTAGAGGAAAAGTCACGTAAACATTTAAAAATCAAAACAGCACAGAAACTCATGGAAAAGGTTGCCCACGACAGTTGAAACATCAGATAATAACACCTTATTCCACTATGCCATGCCTTCACTTTAAAAGTTTCCACATCATAGACCGCGTGGAGCTCAATCTGTCCAACAATAGCCGAGCCGAGTTGGATGCGCAACTCCAAAGGATAAATGTGTTTGTAGGAACAAGATCGGCACTTAACTAACCTTCCTCCTGAAAGCCCCCTAGGCTTCTTGTTCATATATCGGTTTCTGATGTTAAATATATGTCTCTCTGGGCAGATATTCTCCCTGGCAGTACACAACACTTTTCCTCGTCATACACGTTTGGTGTGCGATCTTTCTGAGCATGGAACACTATCTCCAATAAGTCTCGTATTCTAGCCCAGTACTTCTTTGTCCTTACGGACGCCGTTCACGTCTCCTTCAGAACACGGGTTTCAGCACAGTACATCTTTAATTTATGTCATCTTGCAATAATCCCCAAAACCAATCGGCCCAGTGTGACTTTAGTGTGACGCAGTGCGGTCGTATCTAGGCCTAAAGCTGTCCAACACCCTTCGTGCCAAAGTGTAAGGTACCCAGGCATAGCTGCGCGCGCGGGGTAAGTGGCATGATATTACAATATTAAATACCTGAAAAGTAATCAGCTGGATTATACAGAGTAAGAAGAACCTACCATCCAACCAAATCCCTCTTGCCTCTTACCATTAGGTCTTGACGAGCATAATTCTCCCCCGCTTTCCCGCCCGAAACTAGAAACGCCAATCTAGATCTGTTGGGTTTGCGCACCTTTCGCTTGCTGTGATAACTGTCTCTGAATTCTGCCTCAAAAGGCGGAGTTTAGGTGGAATATCCTCTTAACTTTCCATGTCAGTGAATAGCTTCATGAGTTTCACCCATCTAACATCTAGGGTGAGTGCGTGTCAACATTTTCTACGAGCACACACAAGGGTGACCGTTATATCGCGTATAAAGCGGTGAATTTACTGCCAACTAGGTGAGAAGATATAAGTTGGTTGGTGCCTTGGAGGGTCATTCAGTATCTCTAAGATTTTTTCATTCAAGATTACCCTCCAAAGAGGCCCTACGAATGCGCCAAACCGGTGCAGTAGTTTTAAACATTTACGGCGTTTGAAAAAAACCTTGGTAATGTAATTACTAGTCAGCCACAAACTAATATTCGGTAGAACCATTAGGATAGCGGGTTTCATATTTCATTAGCGTCTATTATATATGTGAGGCTTTGCTGGTGAATCAATGCAGTGCAATTTATGAGACTGATTCGTTTACTGTTACACCAGTGACTGGCTTTGGAATCCTAAGATAAATCACATGTTAGCAGAGAATCAAATACTTCGGATACTGTCCATTAGGTTTTGATAAAGCTTCACACCAGAAAGATACCACCAAACGTCCTACTGATTCGACAGACAGGATGCGTTACTCCACTATTTATGCTCAAGTTTTCGAACTTGCCCAACTGTTTTGAACTTAGAGATGGTGGCGTCACAAAACAGGAGCTTCAGGTTCGAACTCTAGCAAAAGTCGAAAAATATACAGCAAATTGATGCGACAAGGAAACACATCACTGTCGACCTTTTCAGAAAAGTATAAAATCAGCCAAAATTTCAAAGAAGTAAAATTTCCGAAGAAGAATCAATGCCATTTCATGGAAAACCGAACAGAATAATTGAGTGACGAGAAATTTTCCGCTCACCTTTACCCAGTTCCGTGTAGACCAGTGTCAGTTCAGGAAGACTGAGAGTCACGTCAGCCTCACCAGCTGGTCCTTCATCTCGAACAGTCTGCAGCAACACCATTTCATCAGTCTCCTGGAGCATCTGGTAACTGGAGCTAAGTAAACGCACAACTCCACGGCCCAAAGTATGTGTGATTGGATTGAGGTACGGTTTATTACATGCCCGAATCACTTTAGGAACATGTAAGCTGGATACACTAAATCGACCACGAGCGGAAGTCTTGGTGCCTGGATGCACTTCCAATCGATCAGTGAGGAAAAATTGCTCGTATACTTCAATAAAATTGTATTTACATTGGGTGTCGATGAATGGGAACTTGATGTAGGACAGGTGAAGCAAGAGGCGCTGTTGGTTGGAGAAAAACATGAAATGGCTAAAGGGTGATTTTAAAAATCGCGATGCATGTATGCATCGTTGAAGCCACCCTTGCTCATTCCTTCATGACATAGTCAATTTCTCAACAATTTACATTAGAATTAAACGAATTTTAAGTCCGTAAGGATGATCATACCTAAATGGAAGGAACTTTTCTTTCATAACACATCCGTGTCTCTGAATCTTCAATGGTTGGCATCTTGTTGTGAGTTTCAATGTCCTTCTTTAATAGGGATTTCATATGGCCGAAAATTTGTTTAGTGGAAAGCTCTGTTAAACTGTTATGTTAACAAACTATAGTTTGTCTTTTTTTGTTTTCTGGTGGCATAGCCAGGTGCGACTGAGCTGGCAAACCTGTGATGGCTAGCCAATAGTTACGGCGACGCAATCAGTGCGTAATCAGTGGGTCACAGTCTATCTGGGCACATTTAACTGTGGGGCAAATAGTGACAGCATCTGGCGCCGCACGAGAACAGTCATTTGGAGTGAGGATGAAAGCTAGAATCTGGAAACTCTAATAGTATGGATTAAAGTAAACGAAAACACGGCTTAAATCTGGCAGTAGATTTCTCAAATGGTTCGACACATCAATTTAATGATATCCAGAGCAGAGTCGCTCCTAAGGCGTTTTTCCCGTTAGGTGTGTGGTTCCTACATGAAAGAATGGACCCACAATTAGGTTGTGAACTTCCGGACATTCAGACCCACGATTATTCCTAACGACGCGATTACTACTCCAAATATAACCACCCATCGACGATCCAGATGTTGATATGCAACTCGTGAATCGACTACCAGAGTCATAACAAAGGTTCTTTTTAACACACAACTTACATCAACATTTCGAAATTTAGGCTAATAGATTAGGCATACAGAGGTTTGGACAGAGTGTCGTCTAGTCCTCAAAGCCCTGGTGGCACAAAAGTCTGTCCAGTTTGTTCATCCATCCAATGCAACATTTCAGGTGTGAAACCAAGTGGATAGCATTTTATTTCACTGAGAATTACGGATAGGTCCATGTATGATGAAACAAAAAAGGATAGCGAAAATGATACAAGTGGATTATTTGTCGTTCAAACTCGCACACGTCCCACAAACGTTCGTCAAAGCGAATGACGTACTCAGATAAACAATTGGCTGAATCACCTTCCACAGCAAATGAACTGGAAATATTTTTAATGATCTTGTAGATAGCCACCACAAACTTTTAGCCATCCCTCCCTTGGCTACTTCATTAACATTCAAACAAGCCCAGTTGAAGCTTCGGTTATTATTCCTATATTTAGGTGAAAGTATTTAATTAAACAAACAATTCCAAAGTCTGTACAGACTATCAACAAAAGGCAATATCGCCTATTTACATCAGATTCTTTGGAATTGCTTCAGCGAACACCAAATTTCGGACTTCCTTTTATCATATGCATGATCCCGTGATCTTCTGAATGTTTCCATCCACGTTTCCTGGTTTGTTGATGTAAGAAGACAAAAGGAGCTGAGCGGAACAACATTATCTGCAAGCCGAAGTGTCCCAAATGAGTATTTTATTAGACTTCACTTAGCACCGACATTTCAACCTTGAACCTTCTTATTAGAAAATCGTTATTCTTACATATATCTGCACATCTGCAAATAAGAGTATCACGAGATCCAATTAAACCACACAAGCGGTCATCCACTCTGGCCCCAGAACAAATTCAATGGACGGGAGGAGGAATTTACTACTGATATTAGAATCTGGATGTAGGAAAAGACAAAATAAAGGACGCTTAAATTTCAAACTCAGGTTTGGACAATCAGAGGTTAAGTGTCCTGTCATGTGCCTTTGAACGCTGTGCTCGGCAAACTTAGCGCTTTTGTTTAAACCGTATGGCACCGCTTTGGATCATGTCGGCTGGAAAAGTCCAAAGTGACATTTTTTACGACAGGATAATCACACAAAACAACAACGCTGGCTTGCAGAGTCAAAAGAGCTACGCAGTGATAACTACTTTGGCACATAATGAGGAGTGTGTCTACCGTATAGCCAGCACGGTCCGAATGAGCTCATGATTTAATTGACGACTAGAATATTAAGGAAATAGCAAAACTCTTCTTAACGAAAACCGAAAATCTTTGACTAAAGCTCGTGACCTGGTAGGCAGTGAGGCATAACACAAAGTATATTCATCACTGGATGGGTGGTGATTTATCTTCCTTAGTGGTCGCTTTTTAAATGACAATAAGATCGCCGAGATGCTTAGTACACCACATGTTGTGTTTGTTTTGAGACGGTACGCTGGAAATGAATTTCAAGTGTGTATCCAAGATGGTACTATATCAATACTTTGTGGGTGACTCATCGCAACTGAAATTAGTGTTGGCACATTATCGTGAGCATATTGTCAAATGGGTCAAATTATCAACGGCAAGTTCACCCGAAAGATAGTTCCTCGTCTTACACAGAAAAACAGAGCTAGTCGAAATGTCCACTCATAAGACACGTTAAATTCTGTCTAACAGGAACATTTGGTCGGAACTGACAGTAAAACGTATGAACTCTTTAGACCGATAAAGACTGGTTATTGACCGAGGGTTCCGTATGGTTTTTAAACATGGCTGATTCAGCTACGTATGGAAGTCCCAGTCTACAAAACAAAGCAGTGAAAGATTGGCTACCTATCAAAGAACCATTAGTTCAGGTCGCCAATAGGATGACTTGAGCTAGTCAGTTCGGGGGGTGTTGTAGTTGTGTGTTCAGCACACGGTGCATGTGTGGAGGGAGGTGAGTTGGACCATGGTAAGTACAACACACGAACTATAAATGGGAATTTTCAGTGAAAGATTGTTTCAGCTGGATTTAGGAAAATGACATCCTCAAAGGACTCATAGGGTACTGCACAATCTCACCACAATAATTGTCATTCTTTAACTGTCTACCATCAGTTGCGATCGTGGTGAATAGGGAGCTATCGGCCGCTTATTTGCATAAAACTTTGGTTTGGTGATAAACGGGTCTCCAGTGATTAACCTGGCGATGATGAACAACTCCACGGCGAAATTTCCACGATAAACTGGCAGAGAGCTATCCATAATGCTCTGCGCTCAAACTCAATATCACTGCATGACTAATCATATTACAGGCATCTAATGCTTTTACTGATCAAACACGTAGCAAATAGTAGACAACTGCAGGGGAATTTTCATCTTGTGTATGCCAACCGCCGCGGACAAACTTTACGCAGGTGTCACACGCAATGGGACAGACCGTACCGTGTCTCAGGGACGGACACATTTAACCCTTCCGTACCCACTTGAGAGTCTAACCCAGAAAGAGAGAATGTCTGCAAATTTATCGGATAAATAAGAAGAAGGGTTGTTCTTCAGACAAGCAGGTGTTTCACCCAACTCTTACCACATGTGTCCAAACAAAACTACGATTCGTTCACACGTTTTTGTCAGACAACCACGCACTTACCGAAGTTGGATCTCTCGTACGGAAATCAATTATAACCTCCCGCAAGCGTGCGGCCATCCATGACTTTGACTTGCTGGAGGACCGCAAAGTGGATTGTAGCAGGAGAGATAAATTACGCTGATCGAACACACCACCAACGTCAAAACTGAGCACCGTTTTCGCAATAACTGGAAAGAGAAACAACAGTATGAAATAAGGCCTCTACTTGTCATGGGCGTATAAAAATACAGCTGCTTAACCCCGGAATTTTGCGACTACTTTCTCATTAATCCTTCTTATTTCTGAATCATCCACCGAATAGCAAGTTCAAATATATTTATCACGCAATTATTTTTTTTCAGTCTAAAAGCCCGTACAAGACCCATGTGACCGCTGAATTTTTTGTTGAATTTGGCGTGGACAACAGACAACCGCAACAGTTCTATAAAGTGATTTATTTGATAGAATGAATTCGCAACCACATTTGATACTTAATTTGCAAAGTAGATCCCCCACATTTTTTCTTGGTGAATAAATTTGGCAATGCACTCAACTGGCTACCCCCTCGCAAAACAGATCGCCTCACAAATTAGAATAATTCAACCAATCTCTTGAGGTTTGGCTTCGGCAGTATTTTTTGAGGGACGATTCTTGAACTCCCTACAAAGACCAAGCTGTTTGTCTCCGTGGTAAGAAATCTATACCCAGCATGCACTAGGATTCCAATTCATTGAGGGCAATTAAAGTGGTCTTTATTGGAGGCATTCAATATGCTGCGAGAAATGTAGAGGAGAACCACCGTGTTACTTGACTTAACTCAGTGATTAAGCGCACTTAAGTCAAAAGTTGAGGTAAGTAGTCAGTTGTCTGTTGTTGAATAGCCTCATTCTGGACTGCCTTCCCAAGTGAGGCCGTTGGGGGAGGGGATTAAATTAGTTTAAATTTGATTAAACTTTAAAAACTAACAGAAGCGTTCAGGTGTTCATCACTGGAGTCTATGGGTGTGCACGCAGATCACACCTAAAGCTTGTCCTATCCAATGATTGGTTCCGGGAATACACAGCACTATTTTTTTCGCGCCCAACATACAAATTTGCAGGTGATGTTTTCGAAATTCATGGAAGTGAATACAATTTATTCTGAACGGTGAGTAAGTGCTGTACGACCGTTTCAACCTTGCTGAAATTCACCAAAAAGATCCAGGATGAGAACTCCAGAGGTTTATCAGCTGGATGGCTTTTCATCAACAATGTGAATAACTCGCACTCATGTATGGTCACACACCATCCATCCACATAGCTCACTAAACACGCCGTGACACTGACGAGCTTCTCAATCTATCATTCGCCAGTGTCGTGGGGATTATGAATTGTTTTCAGCATTGAGTAGTTCCTAATACACATCATAGCATGGGTCACCAAACTGCAGCTCAGATATAAGATGTCCTATCTGCCTAGCTTCTACCTGTTGTCAGTGCCAGGAATGGTTATTTTCTACGGAATTTAAGAAATAACCTTGAATTCAGAACGGGCTACCAGAGTCTTATTCGGAGGACTGC